GGGGGGTGTCCCTTCCCTGGACAGACACGTTGGGGTGCCTCCAGATCCCCTCCCCAGAGGTCCTCATCAGGGGGTCAGGCCAGTTCAGGGCCCCTCCCCTCTCCCAGTCAAGAAAATCAGACTTCACTCCAGTACTTCCCTGGTCAGGCTCGTGGGGCCCCCTAAGCACAGATATCCCCCTGGCACTGCGCCCAAGGAGCCCCCGGGGTCCCCCCAAACCCCAGGGAGCCCACCCAGCACTGTTCCCCCCAGAACTTTCCGCAGCCTCTCCTGAGCCCCCTCAAACCCTGGGACCCCCTGCAACACCCCAAGTCCCCCCAAACCACGGGAACCCACAACACTGCGACACCCAGAACTGCCCCCAAGCCCCCCACAGTACCTCAGTGGGCACCCCCACATCCACACTACCACCCCTGGGATCTTTCTGGTCCCCTCAAAACCCAGAATTCTCCCAGAACTGCCACGCCAGGTAACCCGCTGGGTCCTCCCAAACCACAGAAACTCCCCCGGCACTGGCATCCCCCAGAACCCGCTTGAGGCCCCCAAACCACGGGGACGCCCACATGCCGCCCCCAGGGAACCCGCCGCGTGCCCCCACCCCCCGGCCACCCCCTGCACTGCCGCCCCCGGGCATTCCTCGGGTCCCCACAAACCCTGGGACCACCCCCCACACTACTGACCCCAGGAACCCCCAGGTCCCCACAAACCCCGAGGACCCCCCCGGCATGCCGTTCCCGGGAACCCCTCGGGTCCCCACGAACGCCGGGGAACCCCCCCCCGTATGCCGCCCGTGGGATCTCCCCTGGTCCCCCCAAGCCCCGGGGACCCCCTCCATGCCGCCCCCGGGAACCTCCCGGGTCCTCCCAAACCCCGGGGACCCCCTCCATGCCGCTCCCGGAAACCCCCCCGGTCCCCCCAAACCCCAGGGACCCCCTCCCCAACTGCCGCCCCCGGGAACTCCCAGGGTCCCCCCAAACCCCGGGAAGCCCCCCGCATGCCGCCCCCGGGAATCTCCCGAGTCCCCACAAACCGCGGGGACCCCCCCGGACTCCGCAGGCCCCGAGCCCGCCTCCCCGCACCCGCCGGCCTCACCTTGAGCGGAGCCACCCTCGCCGCCCAGCAGCACGAGCCCCAACACGACCACGAGCGCGGCCGCCATGTCGCCGCCGTC